GTAGTATCTTGAATTATTTTGCGAGGAAAGCTCCGTAATTTTGATGGATGCCTGTCATTCCTAATATATTGCGCCTTCAGTTTCGTATGATGCTGTGCAATACCTCTGGTGTGAAATAGTTGCTTCAAGCGCCGTGGCACGCTGCGGCGCGGCAGGCGGGCAGCCAGCGCGAAACGCGCATTGGCGTCTACAAACCTAACAGGGATACTTCACGCGTTGCGCAATGCGTGAAGTATCCCTGTTAGGTTTGTAGGCGCCAGTGCGTCGCCGCTCCGCTTTGTGTTAGGCTCTAACATTTAATCTGGCGGAGTCAGCGTTATTCAACTCATGATTTTGAAATGTTTGCACATCCTGTATGGATTATTCTCATTTTAATTGATGAAAAAAATATGTATTAAAGGAAAATATAAAGTGTGTTTTGTAAATATTGAGGTGGTTCCGTATCAAACTTAAAGATTTCCAAAGCACACGAATTTCTACACAATTTCCTATAGCCTTGTGTAGCCAATGGCGATAAAGTGTAAAGCTCGGCGATAGGAATTATTGCCCGACTGTATACTTTTATATAGCTTCGTATAGCCCGGCTATATGATTTTCAATAGCCTTCTTTAGTCGGCTATAAGAACTCCTATGGTATTTTGAAACGCAGCTCCTATCGCCAATTTTTACCAAGGGTCGCTCATATTGCATAACAATTTAAATGAGGGGAAAAGTCATTACAAGTCCGTGCCAATGAATAACAGCATAACTAATTTGAACTAGTAAGGGGTTTATTTCTTGCCCCAGTTAAACTACCTACATATCATTCAGAATCGGAGAGAAATGAAGGAAAATGAAGCCTGGAAGAGGAGGATTATGAGTGCGAAGCAGTATTATACATATACTCATACGGAATAAAAGAATGCTCTTTGGAAGCAAAATTAGCTCTTTTTGCGGAATTGAGGGACGTGCAGGAGAGTGTGCACAAGTGCAGTTTTTGAAAAAAATTGAGATATTAACGATTTCAAGTAAAACCGGTCTTAATGTATATTCTGTGAAAAATTCGCTCCCACAGTCTAATTTTTAAGCATCAAAAAGTCTGTTCGAACTTTCTTTCCGCCATGAAGATCCATGTAATTTCGAAACTTTAAACACGCACTCCTTGAAAAAGCAAAAACTGCACTTATGCGCCTTGTCCTCCAAGCCCCTCATTAACGTGGCTCTTTCAGATCAGATGTCACTCCATGCTTATATAACTCAACTTTCTCGGGGGCAACTCAAGCTCCTGAACGGCAGGATTTTATACGGAAATTCCTAGATAATATTTCCTAGTTTTAAGCATCTCTTCCCTGCTGCCTCCTGCCTTATTAGCGCGCTAATTGTAAGACAAACATTCAAAGATTCTGCAACTGCACGCGGTGTGAACTGGGATTACCAGTGGCGTGGCGTGCTTTGCGATTTATCGATTGTTATGCCATTTAAACCCACGGGAAAGGATCGATAAACAGGGTGTTCGCAGCGAACACGATGATAATCGATTCTTTACCATAGGTTTTAATGGCATAACAATCGATAAATCGCAATTCACGCCACGCCACTGGGGATTACGTTGTTGCCCCGATTCCTTGTGTGTCACAAGGCCCCAGTGGCGTGGCTTGAATTGCGATACATCGATTAGTATGTCATTTAAACCTACGGTAAAGAATCGATTATTAAGGTGTTCGCTGCGAACGCCCTGTTTATCGATCCTTTTCCATGGGTTTAAATGGCATAACAATCGATACATCGCAAAGCACGCCACGCCACTGCAAGGCTCAAGTGTCTCAAGAGGTTACGTAACTTTGATAAGGCTAATACCTACCACCCTTGGTCTCTAGTCCCCTCGATATCGAGTAGGTAGTTCCGCTTGAACAAACCGTTGATCAAACCCGCAACAGGACGAACAGGACGAATTCTGAGCGATCTAATTTTCATGAAAATGATGGTCCTTCTCGGGTAAGATAAATTTCCTGCCTCTAACTAACATTTCAAGGGTTTTAGGCTGGTAAATGTGTCTCATCACTCCCCAGCAGGGTGTGTACCAGTTATGATAATCCAAAATTGGGGACTTTCGGGGACTGCTTTTAAGGGAGTTTTTTCAAGAAAATCGGGAACTTTTTTTCCCGAAATAGTAAGAGAAAGGGAGCTAGTTAGAGCGTTAAAAGGCGTATTTTATGTGACTAATCTTACAAGTCATGTTAACCGATGAAAACAAAAACATACGAAAAACCAAGCAACATTTTAGTTTTTTTCTACTCCTGGCTATACTGCGCCGCCACGGCTGGCGGAAAAATTTGAAAATGCCGGTGTTTGGGACGATTTTTGTCATTTAATGTGGACCTGAACGAGAAAATTGGGGACCTTCGGAGATATAGGGGACACCCTTTCAAAATCGGGGATAATCGGGGACATTGGGGAAATTTGTGGACAGGTAGACACCCTGCCCAGAAGCAGTGATCCCGATAAGCTGCGATTTGATAGGTGAATGTACCGCGATTTTATCGACATCGATTTATTGCATATTATCGGATAGAAAATCGCGATTTCATCGCATAACGTTTGAACTATATCGCGGTTTCATCAACGGCGATATATCGCAATATTATTGAACCAAAAATCGTGGTAAATTTAGATACAATTTCGATTTTATCTAGCGCGGCTTTATAGAGATAAAATTGCGACAAGGTATTGAGGATGATGGCTCATGTTGATAATCCTAACAATTTTATCGCCAAAAAATCGTACAAAAATCGCAACTTAATTTCAAATCATCACGATTTTTCCGATGAAAAATGCTATTTCGGTCCATCAGACTTAAATCGTGCGAGGCACACGAAACACAAAAATACCCAGAACACAAAAATGTGGAAATTTTTTCTAACTAAACGTGACTTAACCTGGAAGAACTTCACTTTGAAAAATTGATAACTGACTCATTTCATGCATGCTATTCTTTTTTTTATGTGCTGCTATCATTATCACTGCCCAGGAATCCATACGGGTAAATTGATTGAACTTTTTCGAATTATGCATGCATTTTGTTC